GGTTTGTTGCATGTGTTCCAGCGGCCAAATTTGCCTCTTTCGTGCATTCCAAAATCCATTTTGTGACGTTTTTCGTATGTTATTCCGGACTTTCAATCCATACAGTCTCCATTCCCCTGAATTAACCACCATTCATGTGGTTTAGACAGGCAGATATTGTACACATAAGAATGTTCATAATGGTCAATAATCAGATATAGTTGTACATGTCAAAGTCTATATTTAACGCATTTGGAGAGTGGGTCTCCATATCAAAGATCCACTTTATTTCTACTTTGTTCAGGATCCTTAAATGGTTGCCTCCTCTCCAAGGTCTCTGAATTTTCAGATTTCCCATAAAATGCAAGGATCTACATTCATTCCATTCCATTCCATTATGTGCTTCATTAATATGAGTGGATACAGAGTGATTTTGAACTTTATTTTGTATATTTCTTAAGTGCTCACTTATTCTAATTTTCAAGGGTCTTGTTGTTCTCCCTACATATTGTAATCCACAATCACATGTTAAAAGATAGATCACATTGTTAGAATGACAAGTGATAAAATCCCTAACTTTGTATTCCTTTTAGATATTTTCCATATACATCTTTATTTTTTGAAATTGCTCTGGGGATATGACTCTTAGTTAAAATATTCTTAAAATGATTGCCCCCCTTATATACTATCTGTGTTTTTTCTCCCATATAGGTATGGAGATCCTCATTTTGTCTTAAAATGTGCTAGTGTCTGTTGAAAATTATCTGAAAAATACTACTCTGGGAGTTAAAATCACAGATAAATGGGATTTTTTTCTTCTTGAGTTTTTCTTACTTTTTCTTTATAGGTTAATAGATCTTTTCTTGGTTTCATTTATACTTCTTTAAGTAGTTTTTCTACATTGTCTCCCTTATATCCCTTCTGATAAAAAAATTTTTTTTAAATAGCAGATTGTTCCATGAACGTTTTTTAGTCTGTACAATTCCTTTTTAATCGTATAAATTGTCCTTTGGGGATATTGGACAACCAAGAATTAAAATGACCGCTATCATTATCTATATAGCTATTTATGTCAACCGTTTAAAAAAAAAAAGTACTAGTTTTGAAAAGATTGGTTTCAATAAAAATTCTTAAATCTAAAAAATTTACTTCTTGGGTACTGATTTCAGATGTTAATTTAATACCCCACAAATTAGAATTAAAAAAAAAAAAAAAAAAAATGTATGTAAGGAGGCTCTATTCCCTTTCCAAATAAAAAATATATCAGCAATATACCGCTTATAGAGGACCAAGTTTGATGCCCAGCCATTGTCGGCATATATAAAGGAGTTCTTCCCCTAATATGCCATGAATAAATTTGCATAGCTGGACGCAAACTTGGTCCCCATAGCGCTCCCCCTCCTTTGGATGTAACTCCTCCTTAAACCAAAAAAATTGTTCTTTAAGATAATAAAAATCCCTTTAATAATACATTTGATTTGTTCCTTTTTAAATTGACCAGATTCTTTAAAAAAAAATTCCACTGCCTCACACCCTATGATGATGTATAAGCTACTGACATCACTTGTCACCAGGATATATTCTCCAATTACAATTTTGTAAATTTTGAAGAAGATTGATAGAATCCTTCAAGTAAGCAGAAGTTTTTAAAACCAGTGTGTAGCAGATTACATTGGGCTGTCCCGAGGTTTTTATTGTTACAATGTTATTTCAGCCGTATTCCCTGTGTATCTATCTATTGTATGTAGCATTAGTCTGGTTGTTCCGTAAAAACTCCTCCGTTTGACATACGAACAAACTACCCAACAACCAGACCTCCCCAGAGTGAAGTGTGCCCCTCATTAACCTCCCACCTCAACGTTCTAACCACATCATTAGCAAATAGACAAATGTATTCTGTGTTCTCTAGGTGGCCCCAAGGTGGCATACGAACACGTGGCGGCGGCCATCTTGCCGCATGAAGGATCAGCTGTGTTTGGTCGTCGAGTGTCTGGAACCCAAATCGGACACTCGACTACGCGAACACCGCTGAGACCACCAGACTTCCAGCATTTTGTATAGAAACT